GAATGTAATGTCTTAAGAAATATTAAATTCCATCAATTCAAGATTTTCTAGCATACCAAACACAGAAATCCTTGCCATCTCAAATAACATTTCCGTAGAAATTTTAAATGCTTTTATACCAAATGCTCCCGATGAAATCATAAAAGTTTTGACATTTAGTCAAATTGAATCCTCCTTAAATAATTTGTTCATATCTAATTAAGCTTCTACTTTCAATTAAAAGCTCATTTAAAACCCTTGATCATGTATGTCCAACTTTAATTATCAATGATGGGCCAAAAACAATGGAGATAGACCATCCGTTAAGACACTATTAAGATCGACATAAATAAGCTTACATTAATCTTATTAGGAAAGATCTGTATTGAAACGTTCCTCATGCTTGCACACGAGAGGACTTACATACAAAAATGAACGCCACATTCCTCAAAAATCTAGATTAAAAGGTCATGGATTTATGTTGTATATAAACACCTCAAATTTCTCTTCTTCTTCATCTTCTTCTTTTTTTCATCATGAACCCAACAAATCTTTTGCTAACATGAGAACCCAACCCATTAGATCACAGCTCCTCCTTCCAATTTGAGTGCAATAATCAAAGCTTGAAGCTTAGCTCTTTTGTTCAACTATGGAGAAACCGACAAACCTATGAGAGTCTGAGTACAATCGCCATTCGATTCAAACTGAATCATCGGCTTTGATACCACTTGTTGGAGGAGATCTGCGTTAAACTTCTCATTTTTTTTCAATATGGAATAATTATCCCTCCCATGTGAATCTAAACTAAAATTGTAAAAGATTAAAAAGCATTTTATCCAAGTTAACATTAAAAAAAAAATAGCAATACTATCATTTATTGATTACCGTGTAACAATATATACTCAGGGTAATTATTTAATTTCCCTGTAAAATCATAGGCATATCTGCTTCCAAAATAAAAATCTCAGAAAACTGTTTTAAACACATTTATATAGCTAGCAGCTGATTCCTCACAATAAACCAGCCCCTTTATTCTAGACATATTCTACGAGCTAGGTCTCATTAACCTGACTCTTGGAAGGTGAAAATAACATGCACATAACCTTAATGTAAGCTAGAAGGCCCATGCCCATGCACATTATGGAAATTTGTCTCCATTTTGGCCGAGGTGGTGGTGTATAGTTTTATTTCTTCCGACAAGATCACAAATGCCTTCAATGATAGAAGGAGCAGAAGAATTCGTGGGAAACAGGAAAGACCAGCATTCTTCATCGATTGAATTAATGACTTTGCAACATTCAGGTGCAATTTCGACGAAATATTTTTCGCCGGAAAGAGCTGCATCGATCGAATCAAAACACCCTTCGATACTTTCGAGAGGTGCCAAGCACTTACGATGTCTTGCATTCTTTGGTACTTCATTTGCAAGGTTTTCATTTGGAATCTCTTTGGTAAACCTACACGAAACCAAAGCCTCAATGCATGCCAATGCCAACAGAATTGCAATGGTCTGTTTAGATATTCTTGCCATGGATATTATGATGCAAATTTTGGAATGTTTGGTTGAGTATATTGCTAGTGCTTGTTTTTAGAGGTATATAGTTTAACTAGAAAATACTGGATTGTGATTGAAAATTGTGCTGGTTGTGAGGGGGATTTGTACTACTTGAGAGAAAAATTTGGTGGTGGGAAATTTTTGGGAAACACTAGGCCTACCTTGAACGTAGATTGTAAAGGAAAAAAAATTAATTGGTGGGGGAGATTTTTTCAATTGGTTGGCCATAAATTCCTAATGATCATATTTAGTCAGATTGTGTAGAGACATCATTCTTTAATTTTATCTTTTTAACATTCAAAACAACGCAATTTCCATGCTTCCGGACTTCTTTAGGATTGTGGCTGGGAGTAGTTTGGAAAATAGATGAGGTTATTAGTTTGTACGTTAAGACATCCTTAAGATGCTTAATTTGGGTGCATCTCTATAATTTTATATATGTGGTACTAGTATACCTATTTAACTTCAATAATTTAAGAAAACTTGGATACAAATTTTATGTTTCAAGCATATAATTACAAATCTGTTGTAAGATATATTAATGGAGAATTTTCAATTGACAATACAAGGTCTAACAAGCTTTATTTACTATGAGTCGTGGATTAATTCGTCTAGTAATTTTTTTAAAAACAAAATACTCACTTAAGCGGTAGTGATGATCCGATGATCGTGGAGAGTGGTGGATATTTTTTTTTTTTTGTTCTAAACATCCGCAAAATAAATTACTCTAATTAGGTGAAAGATCTTTCAATGATCAAATTAGTAGTCGAAAGATGACAATTTGGCAAAAAAAAAAATCTTTTGTGCAAATATTTAACTATTTGTATATAATTTATGGAAGAGATAAAATTGTGTAACATATAAAATCTGTTTTGAGAGTATTTTTTAGGACAACTTAGAGATTGGAATCTCTTTCCTTAAGGCAGTCTAGGTTTTTATATAAGTAATTGTAGGTGAAACTTATATGATGAAAATGATAAAAATGTCTTCTTCTTTTTAATATTAGTGGACTCATTGATGTTTTGTTATCATTGTATTTGATTTACAATAATATTAGTGCTCCATATGATGTGTGGCAATCTAATTGATTTCATTATTTAAAGAATCCTCATTGAATGTTTTGTCTCTTCTAATGATAGTGGAGGTGACGGTGTTTTTCTTTTCTAAGCCCGGACACCTTAATATAAAAGAATTTCTAGCTTTTCCAAATGGAGCGGCCCTCCTTACCATTCTTCTTTCTCAAATAGTTATATATATATATAATATAATCCTGCTTATGTTAACAATCCAAAAAAGAAAAAAAGAAAAGGAAACCCTAAGCAACCAGTTCTTCAATATGGTGCATACTATGCATATTTGAATTCAATCATATTACATTGAAAGTCATTTACCTTACTAATAGGTTGAAAATTATCTTATCTTGAAAAATCAATTATATTACATATTATAAAACAAAATTAACAAATTATACGAAAAGATACAAAAACATAATTTGTAAATTCATCCAATTTTATTCGTGTGCAATTTGTGTTAGGAAGCATTATTCTTCACGAAAATAAGTTTAGAAACATCCTCTTTACCACAGATTTGAAATTCTTGACTTCTAATTATAAAAAAAAGTTAACAGGATCCGAAAGTTACACCACAATAGACAATTCTTCTTTCTCAAATAGTTTTTTTTTATTATTATTAAAAAAAAACACATCCTGCTTATGTTAACAATCCAAAAATGAAAAAAGAAAAGGAAACCCTAAGCAACCAGTTCTTCAATACGGTGCAGGTGCAGGCGCAGCTCATCATTTAATGAAAGAACATGCAAGATTGGTCAGCCAAGGGAATGAAATCCTCTTGGGCAAGCAATTATCAGTAATTGCAGAAAGAACCGAGCAACATTCTGCAGCAATAGGTGACTGAGTGAAATGTGCAATGCATCCTGGTACATCTGCAAGAGATGAGGCACAGCTTTAAGCGTTTTTTGAAAGTCCTTGCAAATGATATTCAACATCATCACCTTCTGGTGCGATTGCAGATTCTGGTGCTATCGGACGAGCTAACCCTATTTGGACCAACATGGCCATGCACCCTGTGATCATTACCATGGAAACTAGTTTTGGTGCCATGGTCTTAGTCACGGTGGAAGATTATGTTATATTGGTATTAACCAAAAAAAGTAATTGTTATATTTTAGGAAATCGGTGAATTTATAGTAATTTAATTTGGAGAGGGAGGCATATGCATGTTGCAAATTTCATAAACGGTTTAAATTGATTGTTATATTAAAAGAGCATTTATTTAATTAACAGATCAATCTACAACTCTTCCAACTAAATGTTTTCTTTTTATTTTTCGGTTTTAGTGTTTATGATACTTTTATCAGTTTTTTGAGTATGTTTTTAGATTATTGTATTAGATTTTACATAAATTACTAAGTTTTTCCTACATTTGAACCATGTACTTTTCAATTTTTTTTTAATTAAGATTTTTTTTTTTTTGAGATCTTTTATGTTTTAAAATTTTTTATTTCAAATTTTCTATTATAACGTTATTAATTAATAATCGACATGTAATACTATACACTAAAAAATCTCAAAAAATAGAAATGACATGTCGAACACCGATTGATAAAGTTATAACGAAAGATTTAAATTAAGAAATCTCGAAAACTAAAGAGTTTTAATGAAGCCAAACAAAAATAAAAGATTTCCATTAAAAAAAAATCAAAAATACAGAATCGAAATATACAGAAAATTCATAAATTATTTGTATCCAAATTTAATGAATCTATAAGAATTTTTTTATTAGAAACTTTGTCTTATATTTCCGTTTGGGATAAAATAAATGTTACAACTACGACAATATTAATGTTGATTTATGCAGGAGAAGCCAATTTTTCAAATAATGAAAAATGGGAATTAAATAAGAATGAAAGAAATAACATGTTATATGTACATCCCCCTTTCTCCCCATTATACAAAATGCTTAAGTTAAGCCATTGTAATGCATGAACTACAGGTCGTTCATCTGATCAGTTGGTCGAATGACAAGTCGTAAGCCGTCCACAGTAAAATTCTCTCACCAGGATTATTTCAAAGAAATTTTCCCCAGATGCCAAGCCCACCCCCGTCTCTCTCCTTCAACCAAAATGCTTAGAAGAAAACCAACGAAAATCCAAGTCAAAATTGAAGACAAAGAAGAACTTGAAGAATCCCGAAAACCCTCCATAACCACAACCACCACCTCCTCCTCCACCACCACTGCCACGAGCACCTCCTCTCTCCTCCATCTCCTTGACCACTCTAAACCCAACCCCTCCTCCAAATCCAACCGTATTGGCCTCTCCCCATAACCAAAAACCTCCCACCAAAAAAAAAAAAAAACAAAAACAAAAACAAAAAAACAAAAGAAAAAACCCACAAAAAAGATCGAAACTTTTTTACAAAAAATCCACAAAATAATTAAACCCATTATGGAGGTGGAGGTGAAACTGCGTCTGCTTGATGCGGCAACCCACAGTCGCTTAAAAGAAATCCTTTCACCATTTCGTACAAAAATACTTAACCAAAAAAATGTCTTCTTTGACTCTGCTAATGGCATTCTTGCCTCTCAAAGGGCAGTGCTTCGCTTGCGTTCATTCGATAACAACAACAGTGAAAAGACGCGTTGTGTTTTGTCACTCAAGGCAAAGCCAGTACTGATTAATGGGGTGAGTCGTGTCGAGGAGGATGAGGAGGAAATAGAGCCGTTGATTGGGAAGCAATGCGTGGAGGAAGCTAGCAAGCTGGGGTTGATTGAGTCGAGGGTTATTAAGAGGTGTAAAGATGAGTTTGGAATTGATGGGGAAATGGGTTTTGTGTGTTTAGGTGGGTTTGAGAATGTGAGAGAGGTTTATGATTGGAGAGGGTTGAAGTTGGAGGTTGATGAGAGTAAGTTTAGTTTTGGAGTTTGTTATGAGGTTGAGTGTGAGAGTGATGATCCTGAAAGAGTTAAAAGAGAGCTTGAAGGGTTTTTGAAGGAGAATGGGATTGATTACAAGTACTCTGAGATGTCAAAGTTTGCGATTTTTCGAGCTGGGAAAATGCCTTAGTAAGTGAAAGATTAATTCATGGACTTATGTTTTATTGTTCTTTTTTATGTCTGAATGATTCTTGGTATGAAAATTGCTTGTGGGTGAATGTTTATCATTCATTGTTCTTTTTGGTGTATTATTGTTGTTGCTTTAGAAAATTGCACTTTTTACTTGTTCAGTAGTTATTAAGTAGTGAATGGATGATTTTGGTTGTTTTGCGAGAGGATTTTTGTTTGCTGAATGATGGTGTGTCTATTTTTTTTATGGGTTTGGGATTTGCTTTGTGATTGTCAGTGCGATCTCTCATCAGAGCTTTGTTCTGGATAAATGTCAAAGCCTGAGGAATGACAATGGCCACGGAAACCATTTATACGTTTTTTCTTACAATCTTTCATGAAACCTGGCCAAATCTTTTGAAGCTAGATGCCAAGTAACTGATTATTCAACATTTGTTCATCGTACTCGTAGTCTGAGATTCAGTTGCCAGTTGCGTAATGCATCTTCTACATTATATGTTCAAAGAACATGCTCTATTTTTTCTTGATTAACATGTGGTAGCTTTTGTTTTCCCTACAGTTGATAATTGATTCTGTTTTGCAATTTTTATCAATCATTTTGATTGCTTAGTTGTGCACTGTAAATAGATCGTCAATTTAATCTTAGCTGTTGAATTTTGTTGGGAACATCCTGTTTGCATCAAAATGTTTCTGTAATAATGCTCTTAAAAACCAATATGTTAAATATCCTCTGAATGAGTCGCGTCAGGATTCCTGTGAGCTCATCCATATTTACATCAAATAAAATGTTTTCACAAGCCACATACTTAGATGCACAAACTACTTAATAATTTGATCAACTGGTTTAGCTACTCACTCGCCTCCAAGGAAGTATCTTCGCACTGTTCAATACTTTTACCAAGTCTGTTCATCAAGAATCTGTTTCAGTTCTTACCTTGGGTTGTTTAGTTGTTCCTTGTGGTTCTTGAAAGAGTTCATCAAGTTTCTTAGCATGCATTCTTGATCAACTGTTATTAGGTAACCAGGCTACAAGATTACAAGCGCCTGGTTTAACTTTTCTCTTGCATTTAATACCCTTCCTTATACATGAACTTGCAAATTTTTCATGTTTATTGCTTTGCATCTCATGTTTCTTAAATGGTGAGGAGAAGGATTGTTTAGTGATGCATGTTTTAGTAACTTGGTTGCAGAGCAAAAGAAAGGTAGTTTTTTTTTTTTCTTCTCCTTTCCGTTATAGCCATGCCTGTCAGTCCTCTGCATGCTGTTAATTATGCTGTGCTTTCTCTTATAAAAGAACAGCATATTCATAGAATTGTTTGAAGAGGTCATAATCCGGAATGTTCTTTTGAGTGAATGAGGATGCCATTCACAAATTGCCAATAAGATTTTCATTGAAGTTACTATGGTGATTTATGCATTTACTTCATCCTTTTGCAGATTATCTCCACGAATGCTTACTGTGCAATTGGGCCTAGCACTGAAACCCAGTTCAAAGACAATTCTGAAGAGCACAAAATTTTCTTTTCTTGAATGCATTTTGCTCTCTCGCTGCAGCTGCACTCTATAGACATCTATGTGGGCAATAAATTTTATATTTCTTATCGCTGCTATTGTGAACTTGAACAGCAAATCATCCCTGTTCTGCAATGCAGTTATACTATAACCTTGAAATGTTTTCGTGTCCTACAAATGTTCATCCCTTACACGCAGATGGCCCTTTTTTTTATTATAATCTTTTTTGTGTTGTATGTTTGTTGGTGGTTATCTGCTTGCTTCTTGACGGAACTGAGTAGCAAGATAGCATGCTGGAACTATTGAATTCAATGCCTAGGGTATCATCAAGATTCAAAAAGGGTTTATTAAACTGATGGGATCAAGTCCTTGAAAATTGCTCGAGTTTGTAGAAGGTTATTGTGAAGTTTTTCTTCTATTGCAGAGGAATAATTGTTTGACAGAATGGATATGTCTCTGGGCACATTTGTTTGCAAGGGTAAAATACCATGGATTATTGAAAATTAACATTCCAAAAAATGTGATACGAAAAATTAGTCGTTCTGTATGCGACTGCCTCCTCCTGTCCCCGCTTGGCTCCGCCGCTGACCTCTCTAACACTTGATTAAACGACGAGACATGGGTTCTGCACTCTGAACCTCTCAAATCTTAAAATTCCAAGTCATGGTCGAAGCTTGAAAGCCTTTTGTCAAATATAAAGAGGAGCTCGTAGTCATCTGCTATCCTGAAAATCAATATCTAGATTTGGTACCAAACAAAATAAACATTAGTTAATCTTTTCCATATTTATATTCTTACCTTATCAAAAAAACCAGGGAGGAACATAATGATTATTATAGGTATATATTTTTGGTTGATTAAACTGAGAGTTGGAGCAAAACTGTTACCTTACATCTTGATCCAAAAAATCCAGACAACCATCTTACATGTTTATTCAAACTTCAAATATGTTAAATTAAATAATGATAAAAAAGAAGTAGTTTGTTCAAAATTATATTTATCGGTCACCGACAAAAAAATAAAGTAAAAAATCATGATAAAAATAAAAAATAAAAATCAGTATCACATTCTTTTCGTAATACCACAAATCACACCCACAAAAGCCCAATTCTTAAGGCCACCACCATCGCCTCCAAATCATAAGAAGTCTCTAACCCAAGTGTCGATCCTAAAGAGCCACTTCTTGCCTGATTAGCCCAAGAACCCAGCATCCCCTGAATACACTCCATGGGAACATTTCCCCTGAATCCATTAACGTTCGTGTGCACGAAGAGCCCCTGAAGCCATTAAAGTTCATGTGCACAAATAGCTAGAGCAGGCAGGACATATCTTGACTTTTATTGGTTTGGCAAACGAAATAGATAAGCAACTTCCACAATTTTGGAAAAAGGTCTGTGCCTAGAGCCCTAGACATTGTGTAGGCTTGCTTTTCTTTTTCTTCTTCACGAGTCAAGGAGATCAGATAAGTAAACGCAAAACTTGCAAGAAAACATATTAGGTTGCAAGAGGATTACAATTAACAAACATTGAGCCTACAACTTAAATTGATGTTTCCTAGACTAAACAAAAAGATTGGCTTGAACGAAAAGAATTCTGATAGCCAAACAAATAGTCTCAAATTCGAATATTTGTATATGTAGAAAACTTTTTGAACAATTATATTCGTTTTGTACGTCAAATCGAATAACAGATTAATATTGGTCTTTAAAACTAAGATATACTAAAAATCCAAAAAATAAAAATAAAAAAAAAATCGCTCCAACGTGAAACTAACATAATGAAATCCTAAAGGCACAAGAGGTGCTCTCTAACCCTAAGAAAATTAACCTAATAAAACTCAACTAAAGCACACCCTAAAATAAATAAAACTCTTAAGTATGGGAACCATTTAGGCCATATTGCAATGTTGTTTGAGATTGAGAGGAAGGATCAAGTTGATGTAAGGAACCCACGCTTGTGCCATACAGTCCTCTTCCACCACTTTAATAACACTGCAACAGTCAGCACTAATCTGAAACTCTGGATTTGATAGTGATGATACAAGCTCGAATGTACACCTGAAGATGCCCGGAACAGCATCATTACGTTTTTGCATTTGGCCACTAGAATTTGGTGGCAAAAACGGATTCTGGGCTGGTGGAGTTGGGAGATTTTTTGGCTGGTGGAGCTGGGAGTTTTTTGGCTGGTGGGGCTGTGATTTTGTATGGTGGTGGACATACGCAGTGACAAAGGCAAAATTTGACAGTTCCAAACTGATACCATTGTGTTTGTGATTTGCAACCTTGATCACAGAAGCATGCACAATTACCATCTCCTAAGCTATCATTAACAAGAAATGCTAAGAACACAAAAAGGACTACGAACCCTACTTGAAACCTCATTTTGCCTTCACGACTTTCTTTTCTTTTTTCACTTCTCTCTCTTGTACAGTTTGCTAGGTTTGCTTAGGCTTTTTATAGAGAAGTTGTGATTATTATCCCTTAGGATTAATTAATTGTTGCTATCTAGATATGGTATAAAAGTTGATCGATTTTATCTTTTCCAACGGTTTGCTTTTACTTTTGAGTTATCCTCATCCTTAATGGGTTTAACTATTGGTACGGCCGGTATTGCACTGCAAGCAAATATTCAATTAGTTCTTTATATCAAATTAAGTGTTAATTTGATTTTTGTACTGAATCAATTTGTTTAGCGTTAAGTTACTAGTATAATTAGGCGATACGTGTTTATTGGCCATTGACCCGTTAGTTTTGTTCTCTTTCCATTTTTTTTTATCATTTAAAACATTTATAGAAATTATTTAAAAAAAAATCAAATAAAAAGAACTAAAAATTTATTCCATCAGCTTTATTTAAAAAAAAATTACAATGTCTATAAACACTTTAACGTAATTAAAGTGAAAATGAAAAAAAAAAAAAAAAACTAACAATGTCAATAGTCGTCTAACTACACGACGTTAAGCAACTGATTAATGAAAATTTTACATTAAACAAATTAATTAAATTCAAAAACCTAATTAACATATAAATTAATTGGTAGGAAGATCTAATTAAGCAATTGCTTTTAGTACATGAATAGTATAGATCTCTAATTAACCTTATTCTTAGGGCATAAAAGAGAAGAGAGCTTAACATGGGCATTTAGTATTTTATCAAATTTTGACATATTGGACTATTCAATAGATAACAAAAACTTGAATATAAGGACTAACATAGAAAAATGCTAAAAGGGTCTAAGCACTCTTTAACTTTAAGTCATTTGAGGTTGAGCCCTCCAATTTTTTTATTAGTTTTGAGGATTTCTAAACTTTTAATTTTTTAATATCCAGCGTAATTTTTAGTTTTTTATCATTTATCTCAAAAAAATAACAATCACATGAGTAGTTTTATAATAAAAATCATTCAGTGAGATTTATGTGAAGCTCCTCAAAAATTTAGCATCATTTCGGGATTATTTTCTATTTTTACCGATTTTCTATATTTTTAACATTCAATAAATAGATAAACATATTTTTTTTATTTTGAAAATTTTTTAATTTTTTTTTACAAAATGGATAGAGTTTTTCCCGACATGTATATAAAATTTTAACTCAAAATACGTAGAATTGAAATTTTAAAAGGAGAAGATAATTGCTAAAAATCATTGGATTGATTAAATTTCAAAAAATTAAAAATTCAGAGATTTTCAAAATCAATAAAAAAAATTCAGAAACTCAATTTCAAATAATTTAAAATTCAAAAGGAGTTAGTCAATAATTTGTTAATCATTTCTCTAAAAATAAGAAATTAAATGAAAAGGTAGAAGAATGTAGGTCTCTTGGAATTGTATTTACTCTTATGTAAAGTATATTGATCTCAATTGATGCATAAATTGATCAAAACTATCTGTTATCATGGAATAAAGAAAAAAGAATCCATTGATTTGCCTTGATTCCATATTTAGATATTTTAATTGATTAATTAATGTCAAGTTCTTTGAATCAATTTATTTAATCATTTTGACAAATTCAAGGAATGCCGTTGACTCGTATTGTGCTTTGCAGTTGGTTGCTTTGACTCAATCTATGCACTTTTTTAATTAGTTTTGAATTTTGATAAGCGTGGTTTCAATTTAATTAGTGCTAAGCTTTCGTGCAAATTAAAGGATCAAAATAAAGATAGAAAATTACTTTTTATTTTTTTCGAAAACTTAATTTTAAATTTTAATATTAAAGAAATTAATAGACACAACATTTCAATCAAATAACAATATGAGCTTTTTATTAAAAGAAAAGTACCAATAAGTCTCTATTGATAAGTAAAAGAAAAACAAGTTCTATGACATTTTTTATTGACTAATAAGTTTATATTTAATTTTTTTCTTCCCAAAAAAAGTTCATTATATATATATATATATATATATATATATATATATATATATTGTAAATTGCCCCACATTACATTATCAATCGTAGTAATTCTCCCATTCTAATTGGACTATCATTAATTTTTTTGTAAAATAAAATGCATCATTATCCTCTCTTTTTTGCCTCCCTTTAACATATATAACATTAATTATAGGGCTTTACGATTAATTTATTCAACAATTAATTTTATACTAACTCTGTTTAGAAAATAGTTTTATAATTATTAAATTTAGATTTTAGGTATAAAAAAATCTTCTCTGTTTAGAAATCCATAGTTTTCATATTTTTATTTGAGATTTTAAAACAATATAATCTAAGATTGTAAATTTAATTTTCTTTGATTGTTGAAGTAATGATTAAATTTTCTTTTGAGCTCTAAAGTTGTTTTCCATGAGTAAAAAAGCGTTTTTAAAGCTTATAATCGATCCTTCATGTTTCAAGGGGTAATTTAGAAAATGCATAAAGAACTGAACTTTTATGGGATAAAAAGTTTCAAAAGGAATCTATTAGTCAAAAAAAAAGTAAAATATTTTTATAGAATTTATTAGTCTTTTATTTGTGAAAAATAAAGTTATTTTGAACAACAAGAAAATTGTTTAGATATTAATTATGCCACTCAATACTAACCCTCTCTTTCACATGTGTCGTGTGTGTTTGTCGTGAGGGAGTTGGCACGGTGACGAAGTTTGTATCCTGCATTTTTAATTCCTTATGCGTTTTTAAGTTTTCCTTTCATAATTTTTTTAAAAGAAAACTTCAACGAAATTAAAATAAGGGTAAATAACTCAATTTTTTTTTATATTAAATCCTGAATCTCTTATTTGTTTTTATATTTTTAATTACATCTTAGTTGTCTTTAATTTTTTTTAAATATTTAATTTATCTTTTTGATCAAGAAAATTTTTTTTGACCAAAATGTCTTTAAATGAAACGCATAAAAAAAATTAAAGATTTAAAAAATAAAACATGCAGATCATATGATTTTGAGTATTTATTTATTTATTTATTTTTATTTTAGTAAAGGATATTTCGATGAAAAAAATTTATTCATAGTCGGAGAAATTGATTAGAATAATAAATTGAACATTTTAAAAATTTTCAAAAACATGTAAAATGTATTTAAAATTTTAAAAATATATAAAAAAAGTCAAACTAATAAAAATATATTAAACTATTTACTTTAAAAAAAATATATATAGATGCTAATGCGAGAAGGAGCCAAGTTAGCCCCAACTTGCACAGGGACAAACATGTTTTAAGGGGTAATTTAACGAGAAATCCTAATAAAAGTTGGATGAAATAATTAATGTAAACATTAATCATTGTGACTGTTAGAGAGTAATATTAAATTATTACTAAAGCCCCACTTAACGAACTAATCTTTTAGGTTAAGATAATTTTTAACATAGTATTAGAGCTTTGTTAATAAAGTAATCAAGAATTCAAACCTCACCACCTCATTTTTCTTTTAATTAATTATGTATAAGCTGGTCGCAAAGACTATTTATATTTTAATTAATTAAATATAAAATAATTTGGGTCTATATAAATTTTAAATTCAAAAGATTTTCACTTGAGAGAATATTTTAAAAAGTAATATAGAATTTATTTTTAAAACATTATTTAACAGTTTAAATTTATAAATTCATACTAATAATTTATTATTATTTTTATTATGACATCGTCACCTGGAGATTAAATGGGTATGATCAAATTTTATATAATAGGAGAGAAATCATTAGCTATCCCATAAATTGTTATCTGGATGTGTTACTTAAAAAGATAAAAATTAGTTAATATATCCAGATTGATTTTATCTTATGAATTGTGTCCCATTTCACATCTAGAATTCAAAAATTATCAAAATATTAGAGAAGACTGAAGATGAATTACAAAAACTAGATTCCTCACCACGTACAGAATATAAATTCATAAAATTTGATGATCTGTTCATTACTAAAATAAAAGCTACTCGAGACCCCAACCACACAATTTTTTTTTTTATTTCACAAAAAAGTATATATTTTAGATAGTTATATATTAACCCATATTAAATTGTATTTTTGAACGATTTTAATAGCATATTTCTATATCAAATTTGTATATTTTGAATGATTCTAATAGTATGTTTTCATATCAAATTTGTATATTCAAATATAATATATATATATACATATATATATATATATATATATATAAAAAATCAACGAAAGGCCGATTTTTAAAGTTATTATTACAATGAACCGGCCAATCACGTTTACTGTTAAACAATTAAAGGGTCTCTCAAGATTGTTCACAACCCTATATTTATTTTAGTTTGAACAACGTCAACCCCTAACGTGTTGATCTCCCTATTCTCTTGATTTCTATTTGATACGTGTTAATTAACCCATCGTTGTTTCAGTCCATTTGGGTTAATGGTGGGATTATATATAAATATAAATAGGGGTGACTTCTGGTCAACCCAATTTGAAGTCACAGAATGCTATTGGCCACAAGTCAAGCACGGAATACCAGTCATATCTTTTGGAGGTCTAATCTAAAAAATTTATAACACTCAATAAGTAATAAATAAAGATTACTCTATAAATAAAAATAAATATAAAAATATTAATAAATAAAGATTACTCTATAAATAGAAATAAATATAAAAATCTACTTATTTCTGTTAATACATCCAGATTTGATTTTTTTTTTGCATATATTCATTTGTTTAATAAAAAATGAACTCGTGAAATAATTGCTATACATATATACTAATTACTTTTTAAATATTATAAAATTTTTCGATCCATCCTAAAAGAATATACGGTAAGAAGAAATCAGTACCTAAGACCTTGAGAGAGAAATTGAGTTTATTTTTGTATTGTTATAGGTTAATTATTATAATAAATAAAATTAATGTA